TTTTTAATTAAAAAAGTCCTTTAAAAAAAAAATCCTTCCTTAAAAAATAGAACATGGAAAAAGGACTAAGAAAACATATCAGCAGGTGGCTGTTATAGATGATGGTCTCGAATATTCCCACATAAAATAACAAATGCATTTCAAAAAAGGTGTTTCACAAACAAGTGAACAAGATTTGGATCATGTTCACTATATTTTATTCTATATTTTATTTTTCCTTCATATAATTTAGTTTGTAAGGTTTGTTTAAAAATCTAAGTATATATACGCATATATATACATATACATATATATACGTATATATACACATATATACACACATATATATATACACAAATATATATATATATATATATAATATATGGATAGATGGGTGGATGGACGGATAGATGGATGGGAGGATAGATGAAAGGACAGATGGGCGTTACCTCATAGTCCTGACACTTTTCATTGATGTGCTGCTGTTTCTTTTCCAGTTCACAGATCAGCTGCTTCGCTTCACCCAGCTCCTTCTCCATCACTTTCTCTCTGCTTTCCACAACGCCCACATGTTTAGTCAGGACTCGAATCACCTCATTGCGGCTCTGCAACTCTTCTGTAAGCATAGACACTTGGTTTTCAGTCAAATTAAGCAGAGAAAATTAAGATTAACAAAAAAACAATGTGTAATCTCTGAAGATTAATGTTTAGTAATGTATCATATCCTGTTAGGAGCATTCAGCTATTCTCACCCTCCAAACCAGCACACCTGCGCTCCAACATCACCATGGTGTGACGGTCTTGTTCCCAGGCCTGGTGCTGCTTATGATGGGAAGCAGACATGGCGTTCAGCTCCCGCTCCCTGTCCTTTAGCTCAGCCATTAGGAGCTGAAGCTCCTTTCTCTGCCTCTGGAGGGTGGAGACGCTCAGGTCTTTTACAGGAAGCTTCATGGAAAAAAAAAGGTTTAAAAACTTGTAAACTTTAAAAGAAAAAAAAAATAGTTATATTTAATAACAGGAGATTTTATTTTGAAAAAGTCATTGTGTAATGGGTTTTTTTTTTTTTGTTTTAAAATGATGGAAAAGAAATTGAAAAGAGTATAAATGGATGGAATTAAATGTTTCCACTTAAGAAAATATTATATAAATGCATTTATTTTTTTATTATTGCAATTAGTCAATAGAGAAAATACTAAAACCTGCATTTTTTAATCATAACTTAAGTTCAAAAGCATAAGCTGGTTCTTTTTCATTTTAAGTCAGTAATGAAGAGCCGTTGTAGAGCTTCGTAAGAGCCACAAGTTACAGACTCATGGTCAAAATGCCTGCATGATCTCCTTCCTTCTGCCTCCTCTTGTGGCTTATATGTTGACAGTCCTCTGTGAAGGTATATAATTATGGGATAATAAATCCAGAGATTTTTCTCTGCAGGTCTTAAAGTGGGGCTTAGCTGCTTTGAAGCATCCTTTGTTCCAACATGTTTTAATTTTCACTGATGCAAACAAAAACAGAGCTGCATTCACTACTCTTAAATCTGAAAAACTCAATAATAAAGTAGATAATGAACATGTAGTGTTCTGATATTCATTTAAAACATATAAAAACACATCTATAGAGTAGAATATAGGATATAAACTCGTATAATCAATTTTCTGCATTTTGTTTTTCCAGATCTGGGAAACCAAAATACAGTGAATCAAATGTAAATTCATCAGTGACATCTGGTGGCCTAGATGTAAGTTTATCATTAAGTAAATTAATTATAAATATAGAATTATATGTATTTAGTTAGTTGAATTACATACCACCAAAAATAATTGTATTTATAATATTTAATTATATTTTAATTATATATAAAACGGTAGAGAAACAACTAATTTTGCAAATAAATAAAAATCCAATCAGAGCCAATTTAAAGTAGCAGTAATTCATAGAAATGATCAGAGGAATATAGAAGCACAAATATTACAGATTTAGGACAAATAGCTATAATGAAAAGCTCTGCAATGGTTCAACCAGATGATAGTTTGTCCCACATCATAATCTGAAGTTAAATCTAAGTTGAGAAAGCCCAACCTAAATATTATGATCGACAAAGAAACACTTTGAAATGACAGATCTGTCAATCAAATATAAAATTAGGACAAAACTGGCAGAAAGTTGCCATTAATACATTGATAATTAAGTTATTTAATGATAGAATAGTTAAAGAACATTAGTTTGGGCAGCACAGTATCACCACATGATACATGATACTTTAAAATAATAATAATTTACAAAATAAGTAATGTTCTCTTTAAAAAAAAATCCCAATCAGTGCATCTGTAGACTATAGATGGCTACTGATATAGTTTATTTTAAACTTTTTTACATATACCATTTTTGATTAGAGCTGGTTGTGTTTGGAGGATCATATAACAATAACCACATGTTCAACAATATCAACTTTGATGAAAAACTATTCATCTAATTTTTTCTTGGGGGTTGCTATAACTTCTCCGGGGGGAGCTATAGCACCCCTAGCTGTCTCCACTGTAAGAGATCTGTAAAAACCTTGCAACTTAATAAAATGTATGGTTTATTCAACTAGAGTGGGACTGGTGGCACACATTTACTTTCGCTGATGATGCAGTCACCACCTGAATAGCTCTGTCATTCACATGGGTCTGGTGATGGTTAAAATGAGGACTACCTAATGAAGCGTTGACCTTACCTCAGCATCCTGTACATGATGAGCAGAGCAGGGATCTGCAGCATCACTTTGGACCCACTGGGAGGAGAAACCGCCCAACTTCCCTCTGGTTAGACCAGATGGTTGCTTAGCATCAAGGGGAGAACCACCATCTGCCTGACAAAAGCATAAAACACACTCCTTATGTTTACAATAAACCAATGCAACCAGAGAAAAACAAGTTTAAGCATTATTTAGATCTGGGGAAAAATGCATATTCAGATTAGTTTAAGATCAGGGAAGCACTGACACCTTTCCATGCATAAATAAAGGCTGTTACCTTTTTAACCGGAGTGCTGTGCCACAGTTTAGCTGAGCCATCTGAAACAAATAATGAAGGTTAGATGGCAGGAAGCCATTCTTCTTATGAGGCAGTTGATGATTTATCAGCTGTTTACCATGTGAGCCATGGGAGCAGGGGGGGTTTTGTAAAGCGCTGTCATTGGAGCTAAATAGTCTCCTTCTGCCGTCCATATTAACTTTACATTCAAGCTCAGCCTGTTTTTACTTTCCTCCAGCTTCATTCTCCTTGTTGAGAATTAGCTGATAGCATTAGCCTACTGGAAGGAAAAGCTGACAGCTAGCTTTAATAACAGTTAGAACTAATGGGGTTAGCCTAGCCTAGAGTGGAAAACATTATACAGCTTCATATGAAAAAGATGCATTAGTGACATAAGCATTAGATACTAAATAAAATACAGATATTACGATAAATAGGTTGCTGCCTTCAGCTTCATACAAAAGTTTCACCAACTTCTGAGCCCAATGACGACATAAACCATCGCCCAGCAGATATTTTCAAAATAAAAGCGATTTGAAGAAGGAAAAAAAAAGTTGAGCGAGACCATTGAGATCAATTATATGTTCAGATTCGAATTCAGCTTTAATCAGTATAAAAAAAATCATTTTTCGGAAAGTAGTTTAGACATTTTAATTGAAATACACCAAATTTTATATCAAGTTCAAATGATTGGTATTAGTGTTATATATATGCCAGCACATAGATGGATTAAAGGAAATGAAATTGCAGATAAGATTACTAAGGAA